CTGTCAGACACAGGGGAAGCTTCTAGCAGCTTCTCACAGAAGCCACCCCTGTAGCCCCCCACTCCGCTACCAAAACCTTGCCACGCAAACCCAAGACACTGAAGCACAACTAAACTGGCTGAGAGCAGAACAGAAATTAGAAAACTTAAAGTAGTGCACACATCACATGGCCTTCCCCACATTTGGGTACCAATGGTTAATCTCAGTATCTTTAAGTGCCTTTCATAAACTTGTTCTGACAGCAAGTTTCCCAGCCATAAATTTTTATCATACCCCACTGTGTCTGCTAGTGATACCTTGTTCTTGCAGCACAGATTCAGCTTTCTGCTCAGGAATGCTGTACCTCTGCAGGTTGGGTGGTTTTCTTCTTCCCTTCTGTGCAGGACATCTGGGAGAACAGTTGTGAGGCTACCACTACAGGACCACCTTTTTATTCTTAACACAACTATAGACCAGCCGCCTCCAGTTGAAGTCATGTCTTAGGGTAAAAAATCTGAAGGTTCAGAACCTTCAGAAGTACTTACAAAATACTTTCAAGTTGAATTAATTCAAATACCTTTATCAAACTTCCAAGTTTTTACCTGAATAGAAATCACAACTCACAGCCTTTACCTGTCCACCTTCTACACTCCCACATTTCTCTAACACCTTTGGTGTTAAAATTGTACTCTGGAGAAGTGCTGCTCACAAATACCATTTTTTTTAAGGCATCTGCCTAAAGTCTTCCAAGTATCTTCCATCATACAAACTGGTTTGCTGGGACTTCCCCATTTTAGCAGGAAAAATAGTTGCTGCATGTTTACACTGGAAGGCTGCCCTGGTTTCAGCAGGGATAGAGTTAATTTTCTTTCTGACAGCTGGTATAGTGCTGTGGTTTGGATTTAGGATGTGAATAATGTTGATAACACACTAATATTTCAGTTGTTACCAAGCAGTCAGAGACTTTTCAGCTTCTCATATTGCTCTGCCAACACAAAGGCAGGGGGGCACCCAAGAAGCTGGGAGGGCATACAGCCAGGGCAGCTGACCCAAACTGGCCAAAGGGATACTCCATACCATACAACGTCATGTTCCGTTTATATCTGGGGGGTGGGCTGAGAGGCTGAACAGCTGGGGTCTTGCACAGTATTGACTTCAGATGGTGAGAAACTGTGCTGCTCACCACATGCTTTGTACATATTATTACTATCTTCCTTTTTTTGTTTCTCCTATTAAACTGTTTTTATATCAACCCACGAGTTTTCTCACTTTCACTCTTCTGATTCTCTCCCCATTCCACAAGGGGCAGCGGGGTGAGCCAGCAACAGAGTGGCAATTAGCTGCCGGCTGGGGTAAAACCACAACACAGACACATCTGTAACTCTAACTTCAGGAAAATTCATTGTCTTGGAGATTTGATGACAGTGTTGCACGAACAACTCTACGCAGCCACACACAGAAACTACTATTCACTGAAGAACAAAGTCCACCCAATAAAATCTGGAATCTAAAATGCATACGTACTACATCATGCTGCTTAGGTGTCAAGATGAAATGCCTTACAAGGCCCTACAGACACAGTTACGTATTTTCATTTCAAGTCCTCAATGGCATCAAAATCACGACGTAGAATTAAATACCAGTGTGCTATGGAACTATCACAGCTGCCATTAAGACTATTGCTTTACCCCTTCTCATCAGAAAGGCGGGGCCTTATAAAGCAGCCAGCGACAAGAGGGCTCCAACAGGAGCTGTACGTTTCCAACACATTGCACTGTACTGACACAGCCCTTGCACAGCATGTTCAGAATTTCACATACAACACCTTAAAAAAAGTTTTAGCAGCAGCCTATACTGGCTTTATGAATATTTACATACCATTTTCAAAAAGCCTAAAAGTTTTATTCCCAAAAAACATGAAAGACTGGTAAGCAGTTGCATCTTCACGGTTCGAATGCCTTGGCAAATCACTATCTACAGAAGTTTGTTAACAGCAGACTGAAACACACTACATACTTAAACTCTGGAGAACACCATTTTAACTTGCAGAATTGTTTCCATCAGTAAGGCACACCAGACAGAGATGATTCCCACAAGCTAAGATCTTTATTGTGCGAATGTTGTTGAGAGCATTTATTACCCTCCATAGACACACATACAAAAAAAAATACATTAACAGTGGCTAGATTGATGGGCAACACATTAAATCTATTTGGTGGAAATTTGTATGCATGCAGTTAACTGTTGTGGTGTAAACATCTTAGCCAGGAGGCCAGCCCAACTGACGACCACCCAGAACATGGAGATGCACGTGATAGACAGACTGCCCACCCTCAGGCCCTTCATTCACAACCATCCGGAATCCATTCGTCAGGCCCAGGTTAGCAGCACACTTCTTGCCAACAATCATTAAATGCCCAAGAAGCTGGAGGAGAAAAAAACAAACAAACAAACAAAAAAAAACACCAAACAGAAAACACACAAAAAGGGGAGAGGGCAGGAAGGGAAGGAATGAGAGCAGAGAACCATTCAGATAAGCCAGTAAGCTAATTCTTAGAAACTCAGCCACTGCTTTTCAAATTGTCTGCCTGCAACTGACACTTTCCAAAAAAAAGTTATAAAGATTGACTATGCATAATATAGGGGGGAAAAAAGAGCTGTAGATTTTTTTCAAGCTAGACAGTAACAGACTACAAAATTGTCACAGAAGCTAAATTTATCTTATGGTTAAAGCCCCCAATACTTTTTCAGGCAACATGTAATTTTGGTGGGGAAAAACCTTTATCTTATCATGTAAAGGTTTACAAAAATCTTTGAACTTGATGTTTACAGTTACAACTAAAATATTCGGCACCTCTCAGCTAACCTTCATCTCTGACCTGCCAAAAACCCCAAGCCCTTATTAGAATAAGTACTACTACCTGTGAACCATGAACAGACACCAAGATTGTACTCCAAAGTAACTGCATTTTGCACTGCAAATACATATCCAAAGATGCATTTTGCTTTATATCACTACTTTCACTGGAAAACCTTAATTTCTTTTACTGGAAAAGGATTATAATATCGAAAAACTACTTTGCCTCTTTGAAATGCAAGAGGAAAAGGGGGAGAGTCTAGTAAATTATGAAGTAATCAGATACAGTTTGGTGTACAGAAAGCTTCTAGAGTACTTACAGATTCATCAGAATCTTCTGCTTCAGATAACCTGACAATTGGCTTCTTAGGGATCACTAGGAAATGTGTTGGAGCTTGGGGTGAAATATCGTGGAACGCAAGGCACTGGAAGAAGAGCAAACAGTTTAAACATAATTTGCTTCAGAGAAAGGCAGGAGTTTAAGTAAACCAATAAGCCCCACTAAATATATACTTAAGTAGATTATCAGATACCCCAAACATAAGCAAAGATGTTGATTTTTCTTGAGTGACATATTATTCAAACTCCTCCAATTTCTAAACACAAACCACCTACTTACCAAGACCTGCTGGCATGAAAAAGATAATCGTTATTCTGTGTTAAGTATTATCTAAAAGCTACAGTCTTCTCAGCAAGTTAATATGCAATTAGGTTCATGATTTATTATTTCCACATATGCGTAACAACTAACAGAGCTGGTAGCATGCATGCCTATATAAAGTACATTTATGCTTATTTCACTTTTTTATTAACACTCATTTAATAAAACAAATGGCAAACAGTTGCTAATAATCTTTCAGTTATGTCTGAATATTGCCTTGCAAGATAGCAGGTTCTTTGAAATTGCCTTGAAATTATGTGATTGAGGCCATATTACATTTCTGTTCTCAACAGTACCAAATATTTCAGGAAACTACTATTTCAATGTATTAAGGCTGGCTCTACTTCAGACATTCTCAAATTGAGGGAAAAGCAGCACTTTTGAAATATAAACAGCTATATGCAGTAAGTAGTTGGCTCCCAACTGATTTTATGCAAGTACCAAAATGACTATCAATAAGAAACTGCATGTAGCACCTAACTACATCAAATAAATCTCATATTAGGAACTTCCAATAGATAAGAGAAATAGAAGAGAAAGCAAAGAAAGAGAAAAAAGGAAGCTATGCCTCTTTGTGCACATGGCCAACCACAGAACCAGGACTTGCTACTGCAGCCACCACAATCTGCAGATGCCTGCAGTGAGCATGCACTCTGTCATTGCTAACCACAGGGCATCTCTGACTTACCCATCACATTTAACAGCAAAACATCTGGTAGTTACTGGTTGAGTTACGCCACAAAGAGTGCATACTTACAAACACATACCTTACAGTCTTCAAAATGTATACTTCCTAGATGCTTTTAGTTATTTGTAAAACAATAAAGTGAATTTTCTATGCAACTATACTGCTTTTTTATTCTACTAAGAGGAATCATGGCCTTTGCCAAGAGTAAAGGTGGTGAAAAGCCTGAACTTTACTTATATTAACAATGCCTTATCTTGCATACCTCAAATCTGTCCTATTTTAAGCTATCTTTAAGAAGATAGTGCCCAGTTCTAATCTCTTATGACCTGCTTGTTTCTCCTAAACAAAGAAAGGTGGTAAGCAAAGAATAAATAAAACTAATTTGCACCTAATTAAATATTTGAGTTAATAATTTTGTAAGCATTTTTTCTATTCTATGTGGTCCACATAGAGGCAGAATGCAAGTGAACAAACTGACTCACAGAACTTAATGAGCAGAAGACTCATAGCAAATAATTTTCTATGGGACAGAGAGCAGAAGTAGTATTGAAAAATCACAGAATGACAGACTGGTTGAGGTTGGAAGGCAGAAAGTCCATGAGTGCATGGCAAACCAACCTTCATTTCAGCAAGTTTAGATTCAACTAAAACAACACTGATAAGGCTTAATTCCACAGAGACTTTGTACTTCTTAATATCTCCTTTTCTCTGCACATCAATTAATGATTAAAAGCCTGACTTAAATTTCTCCTTGTAACATTTCCAGCCACTTTTAAAGAGACCTTCATAGAGTCAACAAAATGAAGTAACAATCATTCATTACAGTCAACTGAAGTCTAAAAGCAGTTCTACACTTCTGCATAGTTTAAGGTAAAACTCAACTGTGACACTACATGTAATTACTCTTCCAGAAAATATTCTGCACCAATGGCAGTCAGAGTGGGGTATACACTCTCAAGTCGCTCATCCAAGTCAATGGCCTAATTCTCAATCAAGTACAGTGCTCAGGTTACACTGCTGCAGCAAGAACAGCTGAGGAAAAAAACTCATGCAGCTTTGACCAGGGTAAAGAAAGGATGCATACGCTCATGTAAACACAGAGCAGTAACATAAGCATGTTCTTCGCAAAGCAGTGAAAATTTCCAATATTCTTGAGAGTACATGGCAGCTGCAACATCTCTGTATCTATTAAGAAAAATTGTTCCAAGCTATGCATAATTTTTAAGTACACAAACAGCAGACAAACAGCATCTTTAGTGAGTTTGTATTCTACACTGCAGATAATCCCTTATTTCAAAAACCCCTGTTAATGTTCAGTATTTCAATTACCACCAAAAAAAGGGGGGGGGGCACTTATACTGGATACTAGTTTAGTTTATGTCTTGGAGATAACAGCTGCATTTTTTTTCATAAACTAACCATTTCACTAAGCTTCTAGCATGCTGTGGTGCACCAGCATCACTGAATGCTACCAATCCCACCTCATCACAGAAATCTATTTTTGCAGCCTGCAGGATGATCAGTTCCAGACTTCTGTGAAGAGCAGAAAAAGCTGTAATTCTCGATAATTCTTCAATAATCCCTCTCAGAGGTTGATAACCGAAGCCTGGCAAGCACAGCTGTATAATCTCCATAACGCTATTGAGAGGCACATCAAGACGTGCACTCCTGACGTACAAAAGCAGCTAGTTATGGTGCACTGCTGGGATACATACGCCCGGAATCCACACGGAGATCGCCAGCGGGTAGTTAATCTAAGGCTTCACCACTACCCTCCTACGCCAGGTGCGAAAACCCCCGTCCCTCGGCAACAAGGCCTGCACGGCCTGCAATGCCGAAACGCCAGCG